AGGTTAGGTGTGGAGGCGAGTCTTTGAAACTCGGTGATCCAGTCCTGACTGAGCAGCGTGTTTTGATGGAGCTTGTTGAGCTTGTCCATCGCTTGCAGGTCGGGCGGCTCCACTTGGAATCGCTTGTGCCAGGCGTCAGTCAACTCCTGCCAAGTGAGCTTGGTGTGTAGTTCCGACACTGCTACGCCGTGGCTGGTCAAGATGTTGTCCAGCCATGCTTGACACGCACCACCCGATCGATGGTACAAGCACGGATGTCGATCGTTGTTCGGGACATGGTGCATGTCGAGCCGGAGAGTAAACTGGCGCCACCACGGGATCGGTTCCGTCTTGGACTGATCGCAGAAGACTGGAATGTCATCTAGCTTGGGTGGGCGCCTGGAGGATGCGGCGGCGGGCGTCACGGTGGCAGCCGCCTGGACCTGCGTCTCCAACTGCAAGTTCGTTGCTTGCTGCGACGTCCTGAAGTCCTGATGCACGCGCTTGATATTGCCGACGTCGTCCTCCAAGACTTGAACACGGGTCGCAAGGTTTGCAGGCCCTGCAGCTGCTACGGCTGCTGGCTGTTTTTCCAACGCCCGCAGCCGTGCGAGCATCTGGTCCACTGTCTGCTGCAGGTGGAGGATTTCCTCCTGCTGCAGAGCGCAGGTGGCCACGAGGTCGTGGGAGACCTGTGCAAGGGCTGACAACCCTTTTTCAGTCTCCGGGGCCTCGTCTGTAGATGCCATTTCCACCCAACGTGCGGCCTCATCGCCGATCACGGTTTCCCGTGTGAACAGTCGTTCCCGTTGGCGTGACCGGTGTTCAGCTGCCGCCTGCAGGTCTGCCTCCTCTTGACGAAGTCGGTCCTGTTTCTCCTTCTGTCGGTTGGCCTCCTCCTCTTGTTCAAGCTGCTGACGTTCCTTGGCCGCGGCGGCGGCCCTATCGTTGGCCTCTTGAATGAATGCCGCCAGGCGTTCCTCGTAGCTCAGGAGGGATTCCCCCGCCTTCCGGTCCATGGCCTTGGTCTGTSATCGAGTGAGCAGTGTCATGCACTGCCGTGCCCGAAGTCTGAAGAGTCACTCGAGGGCCAATCTGACGGACTGGCCCAGTGCCCGGACTGGAGGGGGAGGAACAGGTAGGGGGCAGACAGGTGGGAAGGGTCGGACAGATCCCAAATTGAACAGTTCCCTAATCAAGCAAAGAATAATAAGTAAGAAAGAATTTAAATAAATCAAAATTCGAAAAGAACAGACTGTCCAATACCACTGAGTGCCGAAAGGGRTGCAGAACGCAATAGTAACCCTTCGGTGCTCAAACTGGCAGAAACAGAAGAGAAGTATCTTTACAGCTCAGAGTAGGAGTAGGTTGCAAAAGAAAAAAAATGCCGTTTTTTTTTTTTTTTTTTTGAAAAAAAAGAACGGAATTTGCAAACCTACGCAGTGAAAGTGTAGAGGGACATTATCGGAAAAAAAGAATCCAATTTGTCAATTGCAGACATTTAACAATTAAATAAGATAATAAAAAGAATTTCTTGGAGAAAGAATTCTCAGAATGAATTTCCTCGGAAAAAGAAATAATTTCTTGAAAAGAATTTTCTCGGAAAAGAATTAATTGCTCGAAAAAAAGAATTTCTCGGAAAACAAATTCTCGGAAAAAGAAATAATTTCTCGGAAAAAAATCTCTCGGAAAAAGAAATAATAATGAATTCCGGGAATTTCCAAGAYTAAATAACAATTGCAAAAGAAATAATTTCTCGGAAAAAAAAATTCTCGGAAAAAGAAATAATTTCTTGGAAAAAAAAATTCTCGGAAAAAAAAATTCTCGGAAAAAGAAATAATAATGAATTCCGGGAATTTCCAAGATTAAATAACAATTGC